TTAATATTTCATGCAAATTTCAACATTTTAATTCAAGTAAAACAGTACCCCCTTTGGGGCCCCATATCTCCATAATATGCGCCACTTGCATATGCACCAACTACATATTTTAAAACCACAATACTTATGAACTGTAATTAATGTGGTTTCTGGAGATTCTCATATTTCAAACCTTCAGGAGCCAACATCCTTAAAGTATTAACTATCAAAAAATTATATTTCAGTGAGAGTATAAATAAAACATTTTTAGTTTTATAGCGCATGCCATGTTTTTCCACGTTTTCTCTAAATTTAGGTGGTATCTTAAATTTTTTTAACTTCCAGTAGAGTCACAAATTGACACGATGTATATGAGGGTAAATAACTCCCCCGACTCCGTGCCTTTAATTAGAACTGGTGGAGCGCCGTCTGATCACTACGCTGTTTATTGTTTTCAAGAGCGCACCTAAGCTGCTAATTACGGGAGGATAGAATCTTTATAGGGTTATTACTACAGTAAACAGGTCTCCTCTCTCTCTCTCTCAGATAAGCAGAAAAATATGGTTTATTATTTTAAAATGATTACTTGTGGAATCACTTGTACCAAGTAAGTACACGTATAACTGAAAGAAAATTGACAAAATGATATCCTAAAAAGTGTTTCCTTACTCGGAAATCCTTATTTTGTCGGGAAGGAGGGGATGAGGAATAATTAATGATACATTATACAGCCAATAGTGCCGTGGGAGGGGGTGGGGATGGAATAATGATAAATTATACAGCGAATAGTGCGATGGGGATGGGAGGGGATCAAGCAGCCTTTTAATAAACAGGTTCAATTGTAAAATAAAAAGGGTATTCATAAGTATATGACTGAGGATAAATGTATAAATATACCACATACTTTATTTTAAAAATTTATGTAATTTGAAGGTGAAAATTGAAATAAACATTGAACTTTATTGCATATACATTTTTTCAATATTTCATTATATTCTTACTTTAATTAAGGAAGCCTCAGCGCCGATTTCCCATATTGCCCGAGCCCAGTACAGAAGTACGCATTTGAATGTTTCACCGACTACAACACTCAGATGTTAAACATGAAGAAAAGCAGCGCCTCCCTATTGTCCGGGGTAAATGTAGAAATACTGCGGGCTTTCTGCAGGTAAAAGTAGGAACCGAATTTTTTTTTTTCAATTTTTGTCATTGTTTTTTTTTTTATCAGCTAAGGTACATGACTCTATCAGATGAAAATATTCAAAGAAGGCTTTATTTTTCAAAACTCATTTGAAATGACCTTCTAATCATAAATCTCAACTTTCAAATCTCAAATCTTCACTTTTACTTAAAAAAAAAGATTGAAAGTGCATGTTTTTCAAATAGGAACGAAAAACATGATAAATACTGAATAACTCCTTCTTCTAATGCTCGAAACATTTGCCACATCTGTCAACAAACTTTGATATAGCTACTATACCACGTAATCTTCAAACGAAAAAAAAATCGCTTTACATAAACATTTGAATTTCAGTATATCCTATCAGATATATGTACTTTTGACGTATTGGAATGTGATATGTTGTAGTTCCTACAATACGGCCATAGCCTGTATCAGAAACATTAAGGAAGTATGTCCCACGTCCCTCCACCGGAAGATAGAGGCGACACAGATGAACCTAGAGGGCGCCCATTCCGAGCTCTCGGAACTCTGCTCGGACGACAGTATTTACGAACGTAAGACGCACATCTTGTACCTAAGCACGAAATTTTTTCGCTATTTTTATGGGTTCATGCGCATGTGTTGTGCATCATATGGCCTTAACTTCACCCCGAGGTTTATTTCTCCCAATAAAATCATCATCTTGTCGAACATTAAAACAATGGTACAACGATGATAAGATTAATCAAATAATTGATTCCGACAATTCTTTATGTATCTATGTTAAATTTATATTGTCTTAACCTAAACCGCTTTCTCTGAAGATAATGGGTACATGAATGTCATTAAATAAATTCCTACTGAATAATGTTCATTAGAAACTTACAAAAAACAGTCAAGATGAATATATGACGGGGGTACATGTATGTAACCTTTGGACATTTTGCTATGTTTTGAGGAACTTTTTTCAAGGGTACGGGGATGTAATGCTCAATCCTTACCAAATTAAGGTACATTGTATTTGTAAATTTTGCAAAATTACATGGAAGTGAAATAAAATATTATATCGTAGTGGATGTGAGAATCTTTACCCAACCATACTGAAATACGAACAATAACATTTTCCGTACTTTATTCAAATTGTAAGAGAATTTATTTCAAAGATTGAAAAGAATAAATGATGAATACCCTATAAATAGAATAGTACGTTATCAATAAAAAGAGATATCTCGACTGCAACATGTCAAATGTGCTTTTTTTTTTTTTTTAGAAATTGATTGCCTTTATGTTATTCTAACTGATCACATACTTCAAAAGCAAGCAAAAATGTACAAAATGACCATTTTAATTTCATCATTGGACATTAAGATATATCTTAATTTTTCGATCCTAAAGTAATTATTGAAAATTCTTGCTCTCCTCGCACGTACAGTAGTTAACCAGTAATCCTGTCCCATTTTGGGTTACGCCCGCTATATGACTTGTTTCCAGGAATTCGGGCCACACTCCGAGAGCTGCTTCAAGAGGGAGATGAACTCACAACTTCGACTGATGCAGTGGATAAGCGAGGACGATATATATCAGTTATGTAGGTAAGATCTTAAAGTTCCTTAAAATTGTTATTTCATTAAGCATTTTTTAAATTTATACTTGTGCACATTAACCCATTGATAGCATCTGCTCAAATCTTTACATCATATTTATTAAATGATTGCCATCTACTAGTATATCAATTTTAAACCCTTCTTAATTATCCGGTAGCGATCTAGCCCAAACCTTGGATTGCATTACCTCCACCATAACCATCGAGTGTGGACCGGAAGCTGCGCAACTTGTACCCGTTCTTGTAAAGCCCATGGTAAAGAAAAGCTCAAAGTGTGACGTAATATCTACAACAATATCAGAAGAACCCCCGACCACAGCTAAACGACGGAGGCCTTACAGACAGGTAGCTACATGTACCGCTTGATCGTCTCCATTATCACTAATTTAGCTGGTGTATTATCCTCGCTTGTCAATTTGTAGATGGTGTTAATATATCAATTCTATAGCCGATTAGATTACACAAGAAAAATTAGTTAATCTGAAATAAATGAAATGCAAATAAAGACACGTATTTTGCTATGGAAAATTGATCAAATAATATATATCTTAAATTAAAAAAAGAACTGAATATCTAGCTTTTTCAGTAAACTGTATTGCTTACATGTAACACTTTTCATTTTAAGTCGTACGTGCTTCTTAAAATTCCTGACAATCTGACTAGAGATCTAGACCAGAATTTCATGCTTTCACTGTAAATGTTCGCCCATTATAAACACACTGAATTGTCGACGGATTTTTATATTCCCAGCATAGGCGTAGTCACAGGGGGGGCAGCGGGGGCACTAGCCCCCCCACTTTCAGATCTGGGGGGGCAAGAGTATGTCTGTGCCCCCCCACTTTTCAATAAAGAACAAAATCACAGCTATATTTCCCCAACATTTTCTTTGCTATATATAGGAAATGTTCATTGAAGGATTTAAGTGATAGTAGTTACTTTTTGACCCTAGTATAGTAATATTGAAAAATTTTGGAAAAAAATTGGAATTGAAAGTAACTTGCCTTTGTAAAAAGTTGGCCACTCCCCCCCCCCCCCCCCCCACGAAATAGGATTTTCGTGTTTGGGAACTTTCTTTTTTTTTTTTTTTTTGCTTGTCCAAGAATTTCTGGAGTTGAGCCTCCCCACTTTTAAGTTTTTGGGAACTTACAATTTTCTTTTTCTTTTTTTTTTTTTTTTTTTTTTTTTTTTTTTTTTTTTTTTTTTTTTTTTTTTTTTTTTGCTTGTCAAAGAATTTCTGGAGTTGAGCCCCCCCACTTTTAAGTTTTTGGGAACTTTTTTCTTTTTCTTTTTTTTTTTTTTTTTTTTTTTTTGCTTGTCAAAGAATTTCTGAAGTTGAGCCCCTCCACTTTAAAGTTTGTGACTACGCCTCTGATTCCCAGTCATGACTAGGAGCATATAGAGGATGTGACCGGTTGGCAGGGGATGCTCACTCTTCCATAGCACCTGATCCCACTTCTGGTTTTTTGTGGAGGTCTATGTTTGCTCTGCTTCAATTTTGTATTGTTTAATGGGTCCATTTATTTATTTATCTCTCATAAAACAGACCATATAAATAACGAAGTGCTCAATAATATGTATTCAAAAAAATATTTTAAAATATCTGACTATTCGTATGTGATCCCCTTGCTCTCCCGATACACATATGTTTTGATTTCTGTGATCTTCAAGTCATAGTTCTAGATTTTGTTACCTAGCAAAATCGTCAATTTCACTTAAATGCGTTTTTATCATCTATTATTTTCCAAAAATAGGTTTAAAAATACGTACGCTTTGTAAAATGTATTGATTTAAACCTTTCAACAGGGCATTAAAATCTTTATGGAGATAAGAATTAGCACAAGTATTTCTTTGATTTGATATTCAGTGTATTTTACATTTTAATAATCATCTATTAGACTAAGTGTATGCCATACTGAAAAAAGCAAAAGTATTGTTATTTTGCAACTGTCAATTTACCCACAAATGGATCAAATGATACTTGATTTGGTTTTTATTTATTTACAGAAAACTAGCACCCCAATATCCAGCTTAGTAACTTCGCACGAAAAGGATAAATCATTGCACAGTCACGTGATATATGCGAAAACTCAAGACAAAAATAAAGCCTCATCTCTCAAATGTTGTGAAATAGCAATGTGTTTGACGTTTGTTTCCCTACAATACTTAAAACTTTACCCCCTTCTTTGGGATTGAAGTGTGAAAAGGTAAACAACGTACCTATCATTAAAACTCCCATTACCTGTAGACAGGCGCTCACCTGACATTTATTTATTATCATTCTTCATTTTGTTTTAGTTCTTGTTCAAGATGTTTCAATTTAATATAATCACACGATTTGTTAACTGTTAACTTTAAATCACATGTAAGCAATATGTATATTTTGTATATTCTACACTTGCAGTCTGTGATACACAAACACATTCCAGCTTCCATAGGTAGAGAACAATTTATCTGTTAATTAACAATCTATAGCTACAGAACTATTTAGCTGTTAATTAACAATCTGTAGCTACAGAACTATTTATCTGTTAATTAACAATCTGTAGTTACAGAACAATTTATCTGTTAATTAACAATCTGTAGCTACAGAACTATTTAGCTGTTAATTAACAATCTGTAGCTACAGAACTATTTAGCTGTTAATTAACAATCTGTAGCTACAGAACTATTTAGCTGTTAATTAACAACCTGTAGCTACAGAACTATTTAGCTGTTAATTAACAATCTGTAGCTACAGAACTATTTAGTTATTAATGAACGGCCAAGGAGAACAACAACTTGTAAATTGTCCCTCACACTCGGAATAGAGAACAATGTAATCAAAATGACAAGCCATGATTAAAAGATTATGATGTATAGTGGAAAAGATGTTCTTGTAAACGAATTAATATTTTTTGTTTTAAATAAGTGATTTATGCTACTAACAATAAAGTCTAATGATCCAATGTACCTATAGTACAGTAAAACTTGTCTAACCTAAACATTGTTAATTCTGACGCCATGTTTAATTTTATGTTCCTTTCGTAAAGTTTAATTGTTATCATATTATCTACATGTACTCTCAAATGGGTCCGGATTAAAGGTTATATTGTCCTCAGATTGTGTTTTTACATGTTACAAGATAAGTCTTTAGTAGTAAATTGTTAAAGAATTTGGAGCTTGAATACATGAACTGTTCCTTAATTGTTTAATTGAACTTAAAGCTTGAATACCGTTCCTTAAAACTTTACTTAAGGTAGAACCTATGTCGGAGAAGTCTTTGTCACAAGATTTTCAAACTTTTCATAATGATAAATTAGCACTTGCTTATCAATCAGTTAAAAGCACATGACATGTTTCCTTGTTATTAAATGTAGTGCAGCCAGTCAAACATGGAATGATAAATACATACTGCGACTTCACAATTTCAGTCTTTTTTTAGGGGTACTTGTCATGCAAAGAAGACAAATATCCCAAAATTACTTCTTTAAACATTGTTGTTTTTATTGTTTATTAATTAAACAGTATTAAACAATATTTCCCGAGAATAAATTCTTTTTTATACAATTGATATAAAAAATAAGTCCACATTTTCAAAACTATAGGCAAATGAACTCTATTTATTTTCAGTCAATTTTCCACCCTACATTTGTAAATATTTTTCAGAAGTCTTTGTCACAATGTTCTCAATCTTTAATATGATAAAGAACATACCCAAATGATTACAAAAAGTGATTAAAATTTATACCTTTCCCCACTAACTAATGAGAGATAGGCTATTTACCGATGCTGATACTCCTGACTTTTTGCACTTACACGGATTTTATTATTAAATGACTGTTTGGGGTTACTTTCGGATTAAAAAGGTTTATAAAAAATTTGTACCCTTAATTCAAAAGATCATATTTAATAGAAAAATTGTAATAAAACTCCAAGAATATGAATAAGTAACAAATAATTATGAAAAGGAATGCACATCATTTCATGATAGATATCACAAAATGTGCACACAATCTACAACACATACATCTTTGACTTAGACACATTTCATCAAGATATTACACTATTTAGTTGGCAACTGACGATTTTTTAAAGGATTTTTTTGCATTCCTTCACACCATTTACATTATATAGGAAGTTGTATATTGTAATTTCATAACACAATATAGTCTTAACTTTGTCAACTTAATTAAGGTCAAGATCTATTAAATGAAAGGTGCCTACAGGTTTCTCTAATTCAAGAAATATATTTTCATTAAGCATTATATTAAAATAATATATAAATCGAATTAAGATTAATCGGCATGATTTTAAATTGAATTCTGTGAATTTCAAAATGCTGTATTTTCTACCATTTCTATACTGAAGCTGTAAAGTACGGGAAATGACATTGAATTAATTATGACGTCATAATGGATCTAGCACAGGCTAAACACATTCACTAGTTATGATGTCATACGACGTAGGTTCTACGTTAATTGTGTTTTTGACTTTTGAGCTTCAGTACTGTTCGTTATTTCCTTATATTTCATAATCTCAAATACTAGTAAATGTTATTTCCCGAGTTTTATTTGAAATATGTTTTGAAATGTTAAAGTATCCGCTATGTTAGAGTCTCAAAAAGATTTAAACAATTTTCCCAATAAGGGCATGTATAAGATGTTTTAATTAATTATGATATACATGTAAATTAGAGATATATAAATACTTAAAGAATTTCGAAATACGACTTTTTGATTTTGTTACTTAGAAAATAACATTTGTTTCTATTTTTCAACATAATTTTGAAATTTGATTATGATTTCAAACGACTTTTGAAATACATTTTTGTAGGACGAAATTAATAAGATATATTCTTCGATGCTAATCAATGCTGATTAGCTTTTCAGAATATATCTTTGCAAGAAATAAAAAAGTAGATATATAATCTAATCTTATATACTACACAATATATATTCAAGCCATTTTTTCACCACATTACCGTTAATTGACAATTCTACAAGAAATAGTGGGAGAAGTAATATAATCAATAGTAAAAATAGACGCCCCCTCTGATATTACGTACATGTCACTTTTGATTTTACGCCTTCAGATGATGGTGCAGTTCCAAAAGATTTCTATATAACATTTTGCTTAATATATATGGGTATGTAAAATAAATTTCACTTTTTGTTGGCATGCGCGGATCAACATAATTTTCTGTTAAGGCGTGATACGACTCTTTGGATCTAGTTTCTGTAATAAGGATAATGATTATCTCGCTTTAAATAAAAAAAGTTTTATACAGTCTGATTCATCCGTTTTACATTTGAGTATTGGACGGATAATAGCGTCATTTGCTACATCTATTTTCATAATAAATATACTTAAAAGTGATGACTTTAACATCGTCAAATTTCTTTATTTGTGTATATATATACCTTTTCACCCGTGTATATTTTATATTTCCTAAATCATTTGAAAATGAAACACATGCTTTATGTAGGGATTTTTTTAAAGGTACAATATCATGACAAGTCGATGTACCGGTAATCAGAATGTAAACAGGTTTGTTAAAGTCACCATTTCGCAAATTCTACGATCAGTTGCGCTCCGTTATTAGCAGACTTATTTTTATATTCATATGAGGCAGAATTTATTCAAAATCTTATCCGTGAAAGGAAGAAAACACTTGCTGTAGCCTTCAACTCGACATTTAGATATATCGACGACGTATTGTCAATTAATAATGGTAATTTACATTCCTACGTCGATACGATATATCCTGGTGAGCTTGAGATAAAAGATATTACAGAGTCCGACACTTCTGTTTCATACTTGGATATTTTACTTGAAAAAGACACTAATGGTAATCTAACAAGAAAACTATATATGATAAACGTGATGATTTATCTTTTCTATCGCCAACTTCCCTTACTTATGCATCAATATACCTTCATCACCTGCATACGGAGTATATATACCTCAGTTGATAAGATACGCAAGGGCATGCTCTACGTATGAACAATTTCTAAAACGAGGTAAATTATTGACAAGCAAGTTGATGAAACAAGAATATCAGCAGTCTCGTTTGAAGTCATCATTTCGTAAGTTCTATGGTCGATACAATGACCCTGTCAGCAAATTACAATTTATCATTGAGTCAAATGCTGACTGACTTTTTTCATACCAATTGTTAGTCCATTTTTTATACATTGAATTGACGACGGATTTTTTTCCATTATTTCTTGATCATGACAAGGAGCACACGGCGGGTGTGACCGGTCGGCAGGGGATGCTCACTCCTCCATGGCACCTGGTCCCACCTCTGATGTTTCGGGGTCCGTGTTTGCTCTGCTCTTATTTTGTATATTGTTTAATGGACGTTGAGATTGAATTCTGTTCGTTATCTCCATATCCTTCTATGACCTTGTAAGTAACAATATTCAATACTCTGACATTCTAAGTATATATTATCTTTATTGAGGCTAATTTCGAGGTCGTTTTTTATACCGATTGTAAGGCCATTATTTACACACTGAACTGTGTATTTTTTGCCTATGATTTTGTGTATTGAATGAGCTAGGATATATATCTGGTTTTACTATCTTAGCTTTAACTATTTTGTAACGAGTTTTCCCATTGTTTTAAGAAATTAATTTAATTTTTGAAGATTCTTGAGGTTATGAAATACGACGCTGCACACTGGCATTTTTAATGACGCTTCACGCCGGCATTTGTAATGACTAAGCGCTTCATGATAAATTTGCAGGCGTGAAGCGTTGTAGTTCATATACCTCATGAATCTTCAAAATTAAACTTAATTCTTATATTTACATTTTTTCTGATGACTTGTCATAAATTCACGCCTTTCAACTGTCATTTTTAAAGCAAATCAATGTGCACTTTATTTTTTGACGTCAAGAGCGGTACATGTATTATGACGTAACAATGTAGATATTCATGATTATTCGTGGTACATACGTAATGTTGTTCCTGAGAAAATGAACTGCATTTTTTATAGTAAAGAATCACAGAGGAAATTTATTGGAAATTTAAATATATACTGTATATTTGAATAAATTTTATGAATCCAAAAAATAAATTATATTTTGTTTTATTACATACCTTTCTATTACATTTTGCGTTGTCTTCAGCGCAAAAATTAAATAACGCAAAATGTAACATTGAAAAGGAAAGTTATCACATTTTTTGTTGATCTCGACGCAAAATGTAATAACGCAAAGTGCAATCATCTAATAATCGTTGTCTTATATTTTGCGTTGTTACATTTTGCG